CCCCCACCTCTCCCCACAGCCTTCTGAGCCCCCAACCCCCCTCACACCTCCTCCTTCTAGGCTCCTAGCATCTTCTCCCCACAGCCCCCTGAACCCTCACCCAGCCAGCCAGTCCCCACCTGCCTTAGGGCCAGATCAGAGCTGCCCCCAGGAAAGGCCCCATATCCTATTCCCTGCTACCCTGAGGCAGCCAGTTCCCCTGCCCTGGGGCCAGATGGGAGCTGGTGCCCCTGGGGAGGTGCTGTGTTGCTTTTGTCAGTTTCCCTGTTGTGTGTTGCTCTGCGTTCCCGTTTGAGAATACGCCCCCCACACCCCCATGTATTATTTATACCTGGCTGCTGGCAGGACAGGACATGGCCACATCAAAGCCGCGGAATACTAATGGGGTGCCTGTGGGGCGCACAGTGTGCTGAGGCGGCATCCACCCGCCACTGATGCTGGGAGCCAGGTAGTGTTGCCAATTTTGGTTGGACGTATTCCTGGAGGTTTCCTCACATGACATAATCTTTAATTACAGATTAATCTTAAATTCTTGGAGACTCCAGGACAATCCTGGAGGGTTGACAACCCTAGAGCCAGGACTCCTGGGTTCTATTTCCCCACTGACCAGGGCCTGCTCTCCCTTCCAGCTCGTGGTCCCTGAATACTCTATCCATGGGCTCTTCTGCCTCATGTTCCTGTGTGCAGCCGAGTGGGTCACCCTGGGCCTCAACATCCCTCTGCTCTTTTACCACCTCTGGAGGTGAGTGAGGTCTGCGCCCTGGGAGCCAGCCCTCCTTGAGAGGACAGCTTGTGGGGGGAGGGAGTGCAGCCTCTGGGGGCAGTGGGTTGGGATTGAAGGACATGGGGCAGGGGTACCCAGGGCTGGGCTAGAAGGGGAACCGGCAGAGCCATGGGCATGACTGGGCTAGCAGGGGGACTGGCAGAGCCGTGGGCGTGGCTGGCCTAGCAGGCGGGACCGGCAGAGCCGTGGGCGTGGCTGGGTTAGGTGGGGGACCGGCAGAGCTGTTGGCGAGGCTGGGCTAGGCGGGGGACCAGCAGAGCCGTTGGCGAGGCTGGGCTAGGCGGGGGACCGACAGAGCCGTGGGTGAGGCTGGGCTAGGCGGGGGGACCGGCAGAGCCGTGGGCGTGGCTGGGCTAGGTGGGGGGACTGGCAGAGCCGTGGGCGTGGCTGGGCTAGGAGGGGGGTCTTTCCTAAGTACTACAGGAGCCCCTTGCACGAGGGGTTTGGGAGGACAAAGACGCTGTCTGAGCCCTGGCCTCGTTGCCCCCCAGGTACTTCCACCGCCCGGCAGACGGGTCCGAGGTGATGTACGATGCTGTCTCCATCATGAACGCCGACATCCTCAACTACTGCCAGAAGGAGTCGTGGTGCAAACTAGCCTTCTATCTGCTGTCCTTCTTCTACTACTTGTACAGGTAGCGCCCCAACACGGTTTCTGGGAATCCTTTCCAGGGACTGAGATGCAGCCTCCTCTGGGGTGGGGCACAGGGAGGTTATACAGGGATCCCTTACCCCATACTGAGGTACAGCTGTCTCTGGGGTGGGGTGCAGGTCTGTGTGCCTGGCGCTGAGACTCTGTGCCCCTGACCTGCAGCTCTGTTATGCTGCAGCATTTCAGGGTGTCTCTTTCTCTTTCTCTCCCCAGTATGGTTTATACTTTGGTGAGTTTCTAAGAGGACTGAGTGGGGGCCCCACAATTATCTCAGTGGCTGCTCCCGGACTCCTGGGTTCACCCCCAACCAGCTGTTTCTAGGAGAGCGCAAGAGATGCTGGGAACACAGGGGGGCCCTGAAACTCCAACACCCCCATGGATTTGAGGCTCTGCCCCATCGCTGGACGACTCGCAGGATCAGACGTTGGGCCTCCCCATATTAGGGCCGCCCCGCGTTTTGAGTGACTCACTAAACCCTGCTGCCCCTCATTTCTGCAGCGCCCATGAGGAGGGGAGCATCTGCCTCCCAGATGTACCCTCCCCACCTGTGAGATGGGGGCCAGGGCAGGAGCGACCCTCCCCCACCGCAGCTGGGACACTCCCCATTGCGAGCCTGTCTGTTGGGGGGCAGGGAGAGGGATGGGGCACCCTGTCCCACTGTTAAACCCATTTTAGGGTGCAGGGGAGCTGGGTACTGGGCACCCCTCCCCTGCAGTGTCATTATAATGTGGGAGTAGGGGCTCAGGGCTGATGTCCCCAACACAAGACCAGGGGGGTTCTTCTGTTGGAACGTTTATGTCTAATCCAGGGGGCGTAACCCACAACCTAGGGAGCACAGCCCCTGGCCCCCCCACCCACCCCAGAGCAGGCCCAAACCCCACACATGCCAGGGCATGGCAGGGTATTTCTGTGTGTTTGTAGTGTTGAATTTATTACCAGGAGTTATTGTCTGGAGTGGGGGTTGGGGGGCCAGGGGGTGCCTTAACTAGACCCCAGGGAGAAGGGGATCAAGGCTGAACAATGACACCCCCACCAGGTCACACACCCCTTGCAAATGTCAGGGCCCCTCTAACCTGCCTCCTCATTACCAAGCTGGGGGAGGATTTGGGGGTGCACTCAAATTTGGGCTTTGAGCCCAGAAAATTGGGATGGGGTCCCTGTGTGGGGGTGACCTGTTATCTTGCATGGGGAGTCCCTGAGCAGAGCACCCCGTTATCGGACATGGGGAGCTGTTCTGGGCTCAGTGCCGGTGGTGCTGGGGAGGAAACCCCTGGTCTTAGAGCGAGGGGATTCTACCCCCCCACCCCCACCCTCCACCTCCACCTCCACCTGGGGTCAGGCCCACACAGAAAGGGACCCTGGTGCCAGAGCTGTCTACAGGTGTGTGGGGGAAATTGCTTCCCCTTGGTCCCCCCCTTCCCCTCCCACGGGGCATTTGTGTATAAAAGAAACATTGGATAAACAATCCTCAACTTTGTGGCTAAATAAAAACTTGCAAAAAAAAAAAAGGGCCCCCCTGACCCCCCGGGGGCGGGAAGTGGGCCATGGGCCATCAGGGAGCGCTGGCTCCAATCTGGCCACAGGACGGGAGGGCGGGGGGAGGCGCTTTCCACTCTAAGGGGGCACCAGCTCCAATCCAGTCCCCTGCCACAGGGCTTCATCGCCCCCCTCCACAGCCACAGGAGAGGGGCTGAGCAGGCCCCGGACTGGCTGCCTCCCAAGGCAGGCGGAACATTGCCGGGGCTGGGGAGGGGAGGGGCGTGCTCTGACACTGCTGCTGTGGAGGCCGGTGAAGTGCTGGGCAGCCTGTTCCCACCAACCCTGCCTCCGGGGACACGTCTATGCTCCCAGCCCCCAGGGCACTGGGGAGCTGCTTTGCACTGCAACAGCCCAGAGGCCTTCAAGGGGTGCCAACATTGTGGTTCAAAACTAAGGGCCTGTTTTCGTAGCCCCCCCCCGATATTGTTATTATTTGAGGTCGCAGCATGTAGCAATAAGAAGCCGTACTCACCCCCCTCCACTCGCCAGGGGCATTGCTTGCTGCTTTTCACAGCACTCAGCAACTCCGGAGCTGCTTGTACAGAGATGAAAAAATAAGGGACATCCCTTGTAATAAGGGACTGCTGGCAGCCCTGCTTCTGAGTCCCTTGCCACAGGGAGCCCCAAAGCCTGCCAGGATGGGATGTGTGCCCTCACCCCAGGGCTGGGCACTGCTGTTGGGGATGTACGCAGCCCTTGAGCACCAGCGGGCACACACTCACTGTCTCAGCCCTTCAGCCCTTCTTGCCAGGCCAAACCCCTGCCCCCTACAACACCCCTCACAGGCTTCCCCCCAACTAGCTTCATACACACCCTGTATGCCCCCCCCCCCCCACACACACACACACCTAGCCACCTGCCAGCAGTCACTCAGCTGTGACTTGTGGCTGGGTCTGTCAGTCCTGCCTGAGCCAAAGGGCCAACCTTAGGGTTGGCTCCTGTGTGGGGACAGGGGTGGGTCATAGGCAGCGAGCTCAGTCCATATGGGACAGCCCAGCTAGCCAGCCCAGGGACATCCCCGCTCCTGGAACCTGGGCAGGGATTCCTGGGTTCTTTCCCTAGCCGGTGGGAGGGGGCTAGAGCCAGGATGAGGGGGGGGGAACCCCTGAGGCCTGCAGGGCTCTGTTACTGCACTGGGGGAGGGGGGGGGTTTGGGGGGGGGGCTGTTAGCCAGGATTCCTAGGTCCGATCCGCTTTGCTGATATGTTTCCCCTCTGTAATGAGATCAGGAAAATTCTCTCCTGGGGCAGTTGTAGGGCTGCAAAGCTCTTTGAAGCGCTAGAGAATAATCAGCAGCTGCTGTTTTCTGGGCCATTTATCCAACATTTTTCATCAGGGAAATTCCTGTCTTAGATCAAATTTGTCACTATGCTGCCAGGGAGAGAATGTGAGGGAGAATGAGAACCTTGCACTGGCAAAGAGCCACCTCCCCCAGGCTTTGATCTGCTGGGAACGCGCTCCATCACAGCCGTGTAGATAGGGATCCCTCGCCTGGCGCTGCGCTGCAGCTGCCTCTGGCGTGGGGCACTGCGGCTGTTTATACAGGGATTCCCTCGCCTGGCAGTGAGCAGCAGCTGCCTCTGGGGGTGGCGTGCTGGGGCTGTTTATACAGATTTCCCCCCCCACCCCGACTGGCACTGAGACCTGACCCATCAGCATTTTGGGGGTTGGCGGGGGGGGGGGGGGGGAGAGCGTGGTAGGAGCCCAGCCCCCAGGCTAGGAGCTGTTATGTAACGGCCAGTGCTCACTACCTTCCCTACTTGCTCCAGCACATTAGCCATGAGCTGCGGTGCTGATGGATTTAATCTGCTTAGGTGAGTTGCCACCTGACCACCCCCAGCTGCCCCCCATCTCCAGCCACAGGACCCCAGCTGCCTGCCCTGGGGCTGCCGTCAGCTTCCCCCCTCCCCCCCCGCCTACCCCCTGCAATGCCCGTGAATTTGTCCTCGATTCGCTCCATTTCCTCATTAAACAAAGCAGGCTAGTTAATGTGTGTGCACCTAGACTAGGCACGGGGTGGGAGGGAGGGGGCAAGCATGTGTGTGTTTGTGTCCTACCCTCCAGGGGGTGGCAGAGCCAATCCAGCCCCAGGGCAGGGGAAACAGACTCGTGTGGGCGTGCAAGGAATGGACTACAGGGCCTATCCTCTCTCGGGGGGAGGGTGCTGGCTTTTGGGCACACTGGCACAGGCATGGGTGATGGTGCTTGCGCAAGGTGTGTCAGGGTTAGAGCTGGGAAGGCTGGCAGTCAGGCCTGTGGGGTCTGGTCCCAACTGGGGGTGTGTGTGTGTGTGGGTCTATTGGTTAGAATGGTGGGAGGTGGGGGCTGGGTGTCAGGACTGCTGGGTTTTTAGCCTCGCTGCGGGAGGGGCCATGGAGCTAGTGGGAAGAGCTGGGAGTCAGGACAGTGGGGTTCCAGTCCCAGCTCACTGGAGTGGGGGGAGAGTTCACACCTCATTCACCCCTCCCACCTCCAACCAAAGATCTCTGCTTAATTGGAAGAGCCAGCAACCGCCAGAGCTGTCAGACGCAGGGAGCGTGGCGGGTGGGGGCATTGGTAGGAGCTTGGGGGTCGGGGGGCAGGAAACAGTGCTGTGGGACGGGGTAGAGCTTATCTGTCTTTCTTGCCCCCACCCATCCATGCTGACTGAGGTGCTGGATTCACGGTGAAGGGAAATGATGGCGGGAGGAGACCCAGGCGCCTCCCCCACCTGCTGAGGTCAGCATTGCAGCATGAATTGCTCTTGGGGGGGATTGGCTGCAAGGTGGTGATAAGCAATTAACTAACAGAACCGGAGGGGGAGCCCAAGGCTGGGCTAGCAGGGGGTTGTGGGTCAGGATTGAGGGGCACTGGCAGAGCTGGGGTGGGAACCTACAGCTGCTCTAGGCATATGGAGGGGGTCCCTGGCTCATAACTGGGCATAGGTGCTGGAACTGGGGTGCTCCCGCACCCCCCGTTCTTAAAGTGGTTTCCATCATATCCAGGGTTTACAGTTTGGTTCAGTGGCTCTCAGTGCCCCCACACTGTACACGTGGTTCCAGCACCCCTATAACTGAGGGCATCTGCTGAGGAAAGTTTGTGGGGATTCAATAGCATCTGCTTCCATTTGCTTCCCTGAGCAAAGGGCCCTGTGTGCTCGCACTGACACCTGGTGGCAAGAGGCAGAATGACAATGTCAGCAGCATTGAAGGCAGGATAAGCCAGAGCTCCTGGTCTGTTCCCCTCCTCACCCTAGCATCCCTGTGCGGCAGCAGGCCTGGGCTATAGTGGAGGCGAGGGTTAAAGTTCTGGGCAAAGGGGCACAGACCCAGCAGCAAATACAACTTCTGCAACTCCAGCTGGGCGCTTGAGCCCTGCCTCTGATTGGCTGCTTGCCCCATCTTCTGCTGCAGAGTTCTTCCCCCAGGCGGTGGGGTGGGGGTAGAGTTAATAGGGGGTGAAAGGAGGGGCAGTTTGATGGGGCAGGCAGCTATGAAGTCACTTTAATAGCTGTGGAAAATTACAGCTGAAATCCTTCCTCCCCCCCCCCTCTTTTTTCAGACTACTTTAAGCGGTGTAGGGAGCAGGGCCTGCACTTGTCCCCACATGGTTCAAAGCTCCCTGCAGCCAAACACTCAACCCTGAGCTGTAAAGATACCAAACCCTAATGAACCTCCCACCTCCATCACTCCAGGGCACAATAATGGAATGACTGACACAACAGAACTGAATAAATAAAGAAGTGTGGTATAATTAAAGCCAATCAACACAGGTTTATGGAAAACAGAGCCTGTCAAACTAACTTGGTATATTTTTTGGTGAGAGTCAAAGATGAGTGTTGATGTTGAACATTTACACTTCTGCAATACATTTGCCATGGTACCCCAGGATATCTTAAGAAACCACATCAATACTAAATCACCACGGCACACGTTATTAACTGGATTAAAAACTGGCTTACTGAGCCGTCTCACATTTCACTTGTAAACAGGGAAACATCACTGGGTGCATATGTTTCTACTGGGGTCCCACAGTGCTTGGTCCTATCCTGTTTAATATTTTTAGCAATGACATGGAAGAAAACATAAAATAATTGCTGATAAAAGTTTGCAGATGACCCAAAGATGGGAGGAGTAGTGAATAATGAAGAGGACAGGTCACTGATACAGAATGAGCTGGTAAGCTGGGTGCAAACAACCAATATGTGATTTAATATGGCAAAATGTAAAGTTACACATATAGGAACAAAGAATGTAGGTTACACTTACAGGATGGGGGACTCTATCCTGGGAGGCAGTGACTCTGAAAGGGGCTTGGGGGTCATGGTGGATAATCAGCTGAATGTGAGCTCCCAACGTGAATCTGTGGCCAAAAGGGCTAATGCAATCTTGGGATGTATAAATAGGGGAAGCTTGAGTAGAAGGGAGGCTCTGTTACTTCCGTAGGTGGCACTGGTGCAGCTGCTGGAATCCTGCGTCCAGTTCTGGTGGCCATAATGCAAGAGGGATGCTGATAAATTGGAGGGCTCAGAGAAGAGTCACGAGAATGATTAAAGGCTTAGAAAACATGCCTCAGAGTGAGAGACTCCAGGGGCCTGATCTATTTAGCTTAAAGAGAAAGCTAAGGGATTACTTGGTCGCACTCTAGAAGTGCCTGCTGGGGAACAGCACTTGGATAACAGAGAGCTCATCAATCTAGCAGACAAAGGTCTAACACGATCTAATGGCTGGAAGTTGAAGTTAGACAACGTCAGACTGGAAATAAGGCACAAGTTTTTAACAATTTATTAATTAACTATGGAACAACTTCCTAAGGATTGGTGGATTCTCCGTCAATTGCAATTTTTAAATCAAAACTGGATTTGTTCCAAAGTATCTGCTCTAGTTCAAAGAGGAATTAATTCAGGGCAGTCCCATGGCCTGTGTCATACAGGAGGTCAGACTAGATGATCCCAACAATCCCTGGTGTACTCAGTCCTGTTCAGAACAGCAGGCTGGTCTAAGTCTCCTTTCCGGCCCTACCTATCTATGATTCTGTGATATATAATCTATGGTTCTATGAATGGGACAGAAATTGCAGTGGCATCAGGTTGGGATTGAGGGGCACTGTACTAGTACTGTGTGTAGCGGGGTCCACAATGCCTGCAAGGGTAGAATGCTCCCCTACTGAGTCCCCACCCTGCTTCCTGCTCCACAGCCCGCCTAGTACCATGCCTGGGCACTGGGGCCAGGGCTGCAAGGGCAAAGTGCCCCCTATTGGGCCACTGCCCCACTCTCTGCTGCACAGCTCCCCCTAGCACCATGGCCCAGCACTGACACACAGACTGCTGGTTAGTCAGGACTCTTTATTCCCTCTCCCCAAGTGTTGGGTTTTGATGGAGTTCTCCAGGAAAACACTGATATGCTAGAAACACTGTTTTTTGGGGGTACTTTCCATCCCAGGGGACTGGGGGACCAGATACCCACCAGCAGATGGGAGGTGGGGGGTAGGGCCCTGCACCTGAGGTGATGTGGCTAGGCAAGTCCCAGAGGGCAGGTTAGTGTTATCATCCCTCCTTCAAAGTGAGGGTGAAACTGAGGCATAGGCAGGAGAAGGGACACACCTCAGGTCACCCAGCCAGTTGGGGATAGAACCCAGGAGTCCTGGCTGCCAGCCCCCACATGGGGGTCTGAGGTGTCCATGCTTCAGGTTGTGTATGGTTCCCGGCAGCTGTGCATTGGAGGATGTGTGTCCTGGGTGCCTGTATGTCTGGGGGCGTCCCAGGAGTCCATGTGTCTGGGACGGACTGTCCCCCAGGGCGCTACGCTGCCCCATCTCAGCGGACCAGGTGGAAGGTGAGCCAGTAGACGATGAGTGGCTGGCAGGCAGCAGCCCCCAGGGTGACATAGGTCTGACCACGCCCACCGCCCCTGGGATGCCCCATCCCATCTGGCACCAGGGACGGGTGCAGCTTCATTCGCAGGGATCGTGCCTGGGGAAAGACAACATTAGATATAGGGGGGAGCCTGGCCCGGTAACCCACCTGCCCTGTCTCTCCCTGCCACCACCTCACCTGTGGGGAGACAGCGTTAGACATGGGGGATGAACTGGTAATTACCCAGCCCCACTCCTCTTCTCATGCAGCCCCATGCCCAGGCCCCCACCTCTGCACTGCCCCCATGGAGTGAGTTGAACATTGCAGCTACTGTGGCTGAGGGAGCCATTACCAAGTCCCATGATGCCTCATGTTCAAAGGCTACTGCCCCTGCCGCTGGGATTGGCAGATACTACCATGTGGGGACAGGGCATTGGAGACTACTCCATGGGATGGCCTCAAATGGCCCAGGGGCCACATGGCCTCGCTCACTTCTGAGGCTCTTCCCCTATCTCCATTCCCAAGCACCTCCAACCTGTGGGTTACAGGGGCTATAGCTGCTGTAGAGAAGCAACCCCCATTCCTGGGTGCCTGGCCCCAGGGATTTATGGGGGCTCTACGTGTCTATATAGGGGCTGTCCGTAGAGATTACAGAGGCTGTAGGTGTCCATATTGGGCCCTGCACTCACCAGGAAGTACATGAGGGCACAGGATGTCCAGGCAAGGGCCACGTAGTACCCATCACTGCCAAAGAGCAGCCCCCCCCAGCACAGCCAGGATCATCCTGCAGGAGACAGAAATTAGGGAAGGGCAGGGCCAGGCAGTGAGAGGGGGCTCCTCACATCTCCCCTCCCTGCACGGATGCACCAGCCCCCCTCCTCCAGCAGCATGCCATCCAGCCTGCTCCCTCATCCTGGTGGGACCCCTCAGACTCACCCTCGGTATCACCCCACCCAGTCCCCCCATCCCAGCTGGACACCTCAGACCCACTCTCAGCTTCACCCCATCCAGCCATCCCAACCCTGGCAGAACACCCAACCCCACCCCAGCATCACCCGGTGCAGCCCCCCATTCCAGCAGGACCCCAAGGCCCACCCCACTGGTGCATCATGGGAGATATAGTCTGTGCAAGGGACACTGGCACACAGTGGAGAATGGGGGCTTGAGGCTCCCGGACTATAACTCCCATGATGCCCTACAGCAGCTTTTCCTGAAATTTTTTTGAGCAAAATTGAAATATTATCAGAATTTAAATTTTCGCCAAAAAACTGAAATTTTCCATTAAAAATGTAGACAACAATAATTAATTTTTTGTTTTCATTAAATTATTTTCATTTCAGCCTAGTTTTCTGTAACCCCTGCCCCACTTTTGTAGCCTCGAACCCCCCTCCCCGGCAGCTGCCTGGCGCTGCTGCCCGCCCAGCTGGCTTGCGGCAGCAGGGCTGTCCTGCATGCAGACTCACCCCACGTATTTGTACCCACTGTAGGCGAGCAGGTCGAAGGGCGTGAGGTCGCTCTGCACTGTCACTAGGTACAGACTCAGGAGCAGGGCGAGGACTTCAATAACTACCCACACAAAGGCAGTGCTGGCACACATGCCCAACACCTCCGGGGAGAACCTGCCAGGGAACCATGACAGCAAATCAGCCTTCACTTCTGCCGCTGGGGTGGGGTGCAGGTGCTATTTATACAGGGATCCCTTGCCTGGCGTTGAGATGCAGCCACCTCTGGGGTCACATAGCAAAGCTACACCCGAGTTTGAGAGGGGAAATAGGGGAGAATCCTGCAACCGACAGAAACTATAGCAGAGATTTAGAGACAGGCAGAGTCACCCAATCTGGAACTTGGCTAGGAGGACACCTGGGTTCACACTTCAGCTTTTGAGGAAAACACCAGCGGGATCCTCCACACCCGGGAATCACTGGAAAAAAGGACCCACCGCGCTAGGGGACTGGGGTCAGTGCTGCCTGAGAGGGGAGAGCGCCTCTGACAAAGCCTGTGGGGGAAAAGGTGGGCTGAGAGTTTTGGTGGCTCCAGGGAAGCAGGACTCACCTTTGCTGCAGGCCCAGGGCTATGCCGGCCAACAGGATGTAGGTGATAAAGGCCATGCCTGAAATAGACACACAGATGAAGCGTGAGCTACAGTTTCCACTGAGGGGGAGATGAAACCCATAGACAGGACAGGAAATGTGAGGGGAGGGGATCAGCCTCCCGGGGACAGTGCTAGCGAGGTCCGTCTGCCTAATTGACTGGGCAGTCTGTCCATTGACCCTCCCTCCCCCAGTTCATCCCCATTTACACACCCCCATCCATTCATCCCCATACACACCACACCCTCTCTCTCTCTCTGTCTGACACCTACCAACTGCTCTCTCTTGCACTAGATACAGACAGAAACAGGGGGTCTCTTCGACCCTAGCTACCAGTCCTAGGAGAAGGGTCATCAGGCCCTGGCCCCTGGGGCTGAGGATGGGTGGGTGAGTGGCCTGAGAGTGGAGGGCATCAGACCTGACTAACCTGGGTTAGGAGGAGAGGCCCCTCCCCCCATCACTATTTGCTTGATCATACTCACTGGGGATGTACAGGTCCGGCGCATTGATGTCCTGCCGGGGCGTCAGGGGTGTGTCCCTGCTATACCGAACCTCCCAGTTCTAAAGAGAAGGGAGAGTGATTGGATATTGCCTCTAAGCCTTGCAGATCCTTATCCATTAAACGGGGGAAACTGAGGCACAGACATCATCATCATCATGCAATTGAACCAATGGCAGAACCCGGACTAGAACCCACGTGTCCTGATTCCCAGGGAGAGAACCCAGGAGTCATGACTCTCAACCCCACGGCCAGTTCTGAGACCCCATAACTTGTGCATCAGGATGTGCGGCAAGGGCATCCCGTACCTGGTGTGCATACGGGAAGAGCAGCAGCGCCAGCTTCTTGGTCACGTAGGCAGTGTCCACGGCGAAAAAATATTTGAGCCTGTTCACTGACATGAACCTGTGGATCTGTGCAGGAAGAGTCGGGTTATGGCACCGGAAAGGGGACTTGTTACTGTTTCAGGAAGAGCAGGGGGTTGTGCTATGGGGCATAACGGGGGACTAATCATACTGGGTGGGGCAGGGGTGGTTATCACACCAGGCTGCACCAGGGGATTACTGCACTGGGCAAAATGGGATGTGTGTGACAAGTGTTACTCCGCTTGGGGCATCCTGGGAGGACAAAGCCCACCACTAGTCAATTAGCGACACCTCCCCATTCTCCTGCGGGGGCCAGATCCAATTTATAGAGAAGAAACTGAGGCAAAGAGACAGGAAGGGAACACCGGAGTCCTGGCTCCCAGCCCATCCCTGCTCTAATCCACTAGATCCCACTCCCCTACTACAGCCAGGTATAGAACCCAGGAGTCCTGGCCCCCAAGGTCCACTCCCCTCCCAGAGCTGCGAAAAGAACGCAGGAGTCCTGACTCCCAGACCCCCCACTTTAACAAACAGACCATGCTCCCTTTTGTGAAAGGGCCATGGAGACTCAGTTCCCTCTACCCTGCAGAGGGGGTACTGCCAAAGTAGGGGAGGACTCTCCCCACCATGGAGGCGCAAGGTATGCAGATTCCAGGGGCTGCAGGGCCTTCCCCCCCCCCCAACCCCCCCCCCCCCCCATTCTAGCCCTGAGCAGTGCAGGGGTCTGGGTCCTGTCCCTCCCATACCTCCTTGTGGACAATGTCCTTGCTCTGGCTGGCGATGGAGGAGCCATAGGCCACGGCCACGTTAGCCATTGGGTCAGCCAGGAGGGTGTTGAAGCCCATGTCGATTCCTGAGGCAGGGGTGCCTTGTGCATGTTGGAAACCAGCACTGGTGTCATCGAAGAGCTGGTGGGGGTCCGGGGCAGGAGGGACCAGGGGGCCCCGGCCTCGGTGCTTGGAGCCTGCAATACGTATAAAATCAACGTTGATCAAATGTGCAGACAACATGCAGATTGGTAAATAGTGACTAGGCCAGGGCTGTCATACAAAGCGAACTGAATTGATTGGGGAGCAGGACCCATTCAGACACACTATATTTTAATACAGCCAAACGTGGCCACCCATCTAAGAACAAGGGAGTCAGGCCGTGCGGACAGAGCTGAGACTGTCTCCTGGAGAACAGTGACTCTGGACAGGATCCAGGGGTCAAAGTGGACAAGCAACTGACCATGAGCTCCTAGTGCCATGTTGTGGCAATAAGGACTAAGGTGACCCTTGGAGTCACCCAATCTGTAACCAGAGTAGGTGTAAATAGGTGCATACAGCACTGGGCAGACCCTTACTGCAACAGGGCATCTGGTTCTGGGGCCACAGGTTGAAAAACTGAAGAGGGTGCAGAAAGGAGCCGTCAAAGTGACTTGGGGGCTGAAGAACCAAGTCTCTCGCTCGAAGCCTTTAAGAGCTCCAGATGTTCAGCGTATCAAAGAGACGATCAAGACTTATTCATGGTGTCTAAGTAGCTTCGTGGGGAGGGGAGAATGGGATGTAACTGGGCCACGCTGGTCTTTTCTTCCTGACTTGGCGGGGGGGGGTGGTGGTGCAATTCTACTGTGTACCCGTAACTCTTGCCACATCACAGCAGGCCTGGCCCTTGGCATCGCCCCTCCCCACACAGGGCCTGGCCCTGGGGTCCCCCCACCCCAGCTCACGCAGGGCCCTCAAACCCCCGAGAGCTGCCAGCCAATCCCAGCACCGGAGAGACCCCCGAGCCGGCTGGGGGGCCTCGCCCGCTGGGTCCAGCCCCCCACAGCTGCCCACGTGCTGGGCCGGGGGAGCCAGGAGCTTCGGGAACCCGACACCCAGAGCCTGGGGGCGGCTGGAGGCCTCGGCGGAGACACCAGCCTGGCCGGGGTCTCCCGAGGCAGCAGCGGCCGGGCGCGGAGACCTGGGGCGAACGGGTCCCGGCAGCCCCAGCTCCGCAGCTCCCCACCGCCACCGGCCCGGCCCTCAGGAGAGGGTAAGCCCCGCGCCCCGCACTCACCTTGCCCCCCGTAGCCCTGGTGATAGGCCATGGCGGGCTCAGCGCGCGGCCGCCCCCGCGGGGCTTTGTGGGTATGAATAACAATGAGCTGCGGGTCCCCCCGGGCGCTTTCACGGGCCCTTCGTTCGCTGCGGGCACCCCGTTCCGTACCCTGAGACCCGGCAGCAGCCACGTCCCCGGTCACACGCTCCCCAGTTCCGATTGGCCGCCGGACCACGTGGCTTGGACAAACGGTCATGCTGATTGGGTCAGGAGATATCAATCCAGACCCAGTTGTTCCAATGAGAAGTCAGAGGGCGGGATGTGTGGCACCAGGAAGCGGCGCATGCGTATTTACTGCAGCTGAAGCTCTAAGTGCCAGGAGTGTGGGGGTGGGGGCGAGCAGTTGTGAAGGGGCCAGTGGAGCGGGCGAGGGAGTAGCTCAGTCAGGGTTCTATATACTAGATCCATGCTTTGTACAGCTGTTAGTGGCAGGGCCGCCCCGGGGGGCAAGTGGGGCAATTTGTCCCGGGCCCCGCAGGGGCCCCCACGAGAATATAGTATTCTATAGTATTGCAACTTTTTTTTATGGAAGGGGCCCCCGAATTTGCTTTGCCCCAGGCCCCCTGAATCCTCTGGGTGGCCCTGGTTAGTGGCTACTGACAACCAGTGCCCCCTGCACTGCACATACAGTCATAGATGCCAAGGCCAGAAGGGACCACTGTGGTCATTTAGTCTGTCCTCCTGCATGTGACAGGCCACAGGACTGTCCTGAATTAATTCCTGTTTGCACTACAGCAGCTATTTGAGAAAAAACCCCATCTATTCTTGATTTAAAAGTTGTCTGATGAAGACTCCACCATGAGCCTTGGGAAGTTGCTCCAATGATTAATTACCCTCGCTGGTAAAAATTTATGACTTCTTTCCAGTCTGGCTCTGTGTAGGTTCAGTTTCCAGCCATTGGATGTCAGATCTCTGTCTGCTGGATTGAAAAGCTTGTTAAATTTCTGTTCCCCATGTAGGTACATAGAGACTGTGATCAAGCCGCCTCTTAACCTGCTCTTTGTTAAGGTAAGCGGATTCAGCTTCTGAAGTCTCATATAAGGCACATTTTCCAATTCTTTAATCATTCTTGTGGCTCTACCCTGACCCCTCTCCAATTTATCAACATGATTCTTCTTGAATTGTGAACACCACAACTGGACACAGGATTCCAGCTGTGGTCGCACCTCTGCCACGTACAGAGGCAACAGAACCTCTTCTCTACCTGAGATTCCCTTGTTTGTGCATCAAAGGATTGCATCACACTGAGAGCTTATGTTCAGCTGCTTATCCACTATGACCACCAAGGCTTTTTTCAGAGTTAACAGCTACCTCCTCCTGCCCCTGAGACTGCTCTACATCCCGCAGCTCTGTCAGGTGCACCTGCACAGCCAGGAAAATACCAGGCATATGAGTGCACGCCTCCCCTACACAATACCCTGGGGAAGGTGCACTCAGCTACTGGTCAGTAGCAATTGGTGTGAGGATCCTGATGTAATTGTGGGGTCCCAGCCAGGGGAATTGGAACAATAAATACACAGAGAAGCGGAGGAGCCTGAGGCAGCCACCAATGGAGTTTTTGCTGGCCACAGATGTGGGGGATGGGGAGAGTTCATATCTGAATAACAACCTAGCACATTTTTTAAAAACAGAGCCTGCAGGAATTAGTCAAATCCCACGGATCCCTGGGAGACTAAGCCCATTGGGCCCCATCTGCACCCCAAAGCACACCCCCACTTTGGGCCACTGACTCCAATTGCA